GTGAGTTAATATACTGTAAATTAACCCAAGAGAGAAAATATATGTGTATGGGAGTCAGATCAGATGCATGTGGGAATTGAACACGAGTGCGTATGTGTGTGTGGTTATTAGGTACAGGATATATAACTCAAACCCTTTCCTAAATCACACATACACAAACAGTTTTTTTTCATGTGCATCCGCTGCCCCATTTATCGGAGGAGAGCCCATTTATCATCCGAGCACCATTGCCCGGGTAACTCAGTTAATATTCCAGACATGAGTCAGAGAGAGAGAGAAAGAAAGAAAGAGAGAAAGTGAGAGAGAATGAGTGAAATTCTCCCTGATCTGCAAACAAATAAGCAACACAGTTAGAGGTCTAACACACAAAGCCAGGTTTCCTAAAAGGTCACATAAGGCATATGTGCACTCAAGATCACACTTATGCATAATACAGTGTACATACAAAAAAAAACATGAATAATCTACCCAAAACAGGATCCAACCCACAAAAACACACAGCACACACTTGCATACGTACACAAAATGCATATTTTTACAAAATCAAACACATTAAACTATATTGTATGCTTGTAATAATATATATATATATGCAAAAATATTAAGCAGAACAACTGTTTTTAAAATTGATAATAACAAAAATTTATTTCTGAGCAACATATCAGCATATTAGAATGATTTCTAAAGGACCGTGCAACACTGAACACTAAATTGAATAAATTACACTTTAAAAAATATCAATTTTAATTTTATTAATTTGTAATAATATTTTTTTTTTAAACACAGAAAACATTTTTAAAAGATCCCCATGAAAACAACAAAACACATTATATTCTTGTTTATAATGTATATACACACAACAAAAACAATGGTTCAACACACAAAACTTTCCACACAAATGCACACTAATTTAACTGGCAAAAATTTATTTTTTCAAAAATTGCATCACTATATTCTTATGCTTAAACTGTACAAAATGCAAAGCATTGTATGTATATAACAAAAAAACAAAAACAAGGTCCAACAAAAAAAGGCCACATTAACACGATGATATAATAGGAAACTCATTTAACTACCAAAAATAATTCCCCCCCCCCCCAAGATATCACACACAAATATAGTAAAATGCCCTATATTCTTGTGCATTTATAGCATGCCAACAAATTGCATTCAAATAACCAAAGCATGACAGATTTTCCCACTTGAGCACAACACTGGGCAAGCACACACAACTCGCTCACATGCAACCCAATTCTTCATTCAATTTTTCCAACTTTCATTCATAAACTGCAGAGGTTGTGATGGGGGGGGGGGTAACCCCCACCCACATGACTGCAGTACCTTCCAGCAGCATTGACTCCTCTCAGCCAATCAGAAAGCAGAGGGAGAGGAAGGAAGATCAAAACAGGCTGGGCGGTGCCAAGGAGAAACCGCATAACACTGCAGCCTTTCCTTCCCCCACCATTCATTCATCTGTGCCATTCTTTCATTCATCCCTTCACTGATTCATTCATTCATTCGCGTTAACACAGCTACAGCTGATCTGGACCGCAGGGCTCGCTCTCAACACGGTGCAGTCCGGGTTCAGAATGTGTTACGTGTCTCTGGGGGGTAATGAATGCACAGAGCGAGAGAAAAAGAGACGATGCTCGCAGTGTGAAGCGAGCGCTGACTCACACTCATTCTGACCGATAGTGACTCATGATTTCTCTATTCAAGACAGTTCATTCAAAACTCAATTGCCTCAAACTCTTCGGGACTTCACTGAAGATGAAATGTGATTGTTCTGACACACAACAAAGAACAGTTGAAAGCTTCTCTTTTTCTTTGTTAGCTTGTTCACTGCAGTAGGGTTCAGCAGTGAAACCAATAGCAACCAAGAGAGAGTGTGAATGGGGGGACCCTGTTGATGGTACGCTGGTATGACTTCAATGACCACCTTCACACCTCTCTCCTCTATCTTTGCTCTTTCCATTCTGTCAGCAATGACTCTAATGAATGTGAGTTTGCCCATTGAGTGGAAAAAAAACACCTGAGAAGACATGCTAGAAATACAGACACTAATACATATGTATATACAACATTAAAGGAATGCTCTGTGTTTATCAACAACATAATATCAAATTCAGTCACATTAATGAACTATGAGTGCCAAACAGAATTGCACGATCATTTCAACATACACAAGTGTCCATCCTTGCATACAGTTTAATCAGGTCATTAATTAAGGTTTCTTCCACCAAAAACAGCCATGATTTATTTTATTTTATTCAGGACCATTTTCACTCCCTCAACCATAAAACTAAACACAGTTTTTGCTACTATACCTTTAAGACCACTATATGTAAATGACCTGTTATGCTCAAATAAACTCCACATGCTAGCACAGTTTACACATCGTTCATCAGGGCGAGCCAAATTGCTGAACAGACATTGATATGCAAATGTAGAGGCGGTTGTGCCATCAAAACCATGACCATTTTTAGTGACTGAACCGTTTTCACATCTTTGTTTCCATTAATGGTCCATTTTCACATACGCATACAGGTCAAGAGCAAGATGGGATCTGAACTGCCTTTCTCTGTGACAGAATCTGCTAATGTTAACTGCAGGGATTCCACTTCTCCTCACGCAACAAACCGTTACACAACCACAGAAACTTGAGACACATTGCAGCCTTAACAGCCTGTTCAGGAATCTGCCTTGAGCTACTGCATTATGGGTAAAGGAGGACACTTATGTTTTTGTGGCAGTATCCTTGAGCATGGAAAAATAAAAGACAAAGATGATGAAAGAGCTTGATGGAGAGGGACATTTCATAACCAAAGAATCCATGTAAATTATAACCCAATCCCAAGCAGTTCAGCAGCAATTTAGTGGAAGGAAATCAAAGAGCTCAATGGAGAACAAATATTTCATAACCATATGATGAACAAAGAACTACAAGATTCAATTCAGCAGCAATTTAGTGGTAAAAGGGTCATGACTGGAGCATTACATAAAGAAAAAGATGTTTGTTACTTGTCAGCGGTCACAAGGGAAGCACACGAGAGAAGGGTGTGCCTAGGAACTCCTCGCCCTGTTCCCCAGATGAGAAAGGTCACAGAGAGCATAGCTGTAGTGTTTGTGAGGGTGGACTGCGGAGGAAACATAATGTGGATGCAAAAAGGGTGTCTGTGTGGGGAGAGAGTTTCCTCACTGAGCTGATGAAATAAAATCTGTTTATCATTAAATACACACTTCATTGATCCAAGATGCATGAAATAAAGCTCAACATTGACCCACACTAGGCCCTAAACCAAAGAGCGTGAATGGTGGCTGATTGATTGGTAATTGGATTGAGATATAGCTGAACTAGTCCTTGGGGGACAGGAGCTTGTGTCATTGCAATGAAGAACAGATCTAGACCTCAGAGTGCATGTCAGAGGTCCACACTCATCTCTAATACAGCACCAGCTGAATACTGTGAGTGAACTGACCAATACTGCCCCCTTGAGTCTGACTAACACTGCAGCAACAGTAAATGTAGTAAACGCATTATTATTATGCGTTACAGCGCTGCAGAATGCTCAACACAAATAATTCACCTCATTGTTTGTCCACCAGACATTATCTTTCAAATAACAAAAGCTGGAAGTGTGAATGTTGATTTTGCACCAAGAAACCAGATGATAGAAAATCATTTTTAAGCTTCTCCATGATAAGTTTTCATCATATTTTGTAGGTTCCTTTGGAGAAACCTGTGATTACATGCTTTTAAAAAGCTGTAAAAGCAAGGATGGTCATAGGTTCAAACCCTGGAAAGAGTTCCCACATAATCAATATGCCCCTGAGCAAGCCACTTAATCCCAGGATACCCCAAGCGGGACATCTCTGTAGGTCTTACACTGTCTTGAGTATAAAAATAATCTGCTAAAATAACCAATGTCAGGAGAATTATAATATAAGTCCTTAACTAAAAATGTTACCAACCTAAATGTAACCATTAAACAACCACCACCTTGCTATTTGAAGACATGGCAACGAATAACTGTTTAATAAATTACTGTTCAGGATACATGCTTAAACCACATTTGATCATAATTTGCTCATTATAGATACACCTAGTAAGTTTTTTTTTTTATTATTTGGTTCTTTATCATCTCAACAGTACCAGTAGTTTTGGATTGCACTGCACTGTGACTAGACTGCTGTACACGACTGAAAGCATCGTTTTAAAAAACAGATTTTTCTTATTAATATTAGCAGTTTGGTCAATTGCATGATGCAGCAAGTGTCTTGCTCATGAGAGAGTGACACGCTCCATGTAGATTAAAATAGATTTACTAGAAGACTAATAGGGCTTATGTCATTGAACTCCATTTTAATGTTATTTCTGCAAAGTGGCACTTGTTTCTTTATTTCAAGTTGGCAAAAAAAAATACATAAAATGCTGGGTATACCTTTAAAGAAATAGTTCACCCAAAAACGAAAACGTGCTGAAAATGTACTCACCCTGAGGCCATCCAAGATGTAGATGAGTTTGTTTCTTCAACTGATCAAATTTGGAGAATTTTATATCTCTTGCTCAGCAATGGATCCTCTGCAGTGAATGGGTGCAGTCAGAATGAGCATTCAAAAATCTGATAAAAACATCTCAATAATTCACCAGTAATCGACATGACATTTATTCATCCACTTTGGAGTCATGTGGATTTCTGAGATATTTTAAATCAGCTGTTTAGACTCTCATTCTGACGGCACCCATTCACTGCAGAGCAAGTGATGTAATGCTAAATTTCCACAAATCTGTTCCAATGAAAAAAAAAAACTCATCTATATCTTGGATGGCCTGAGGATGAGTACATTTTAAGCAAATCTTCATTCAAACTATTTAAGGCAGATAAAAATTTCTCAAAATAATGCAGCAGCAACCCCTGCTGACCATTGTGTAATATACACAATACAACGATATACGATGACTCATAATGCTGATTTTGTTTTCTAAGTGTCTAACTTACCTAGCATCAAAATGTTTTCTTCCGTTCCCACGTGCTGTTTGAGCAGATGTTTCAATTTAGTGAAGTCACCGAACCACTCGAAGCTCTCCTCCGTCCGATACCGCTCATTCCAGTAATTAACATCTTTATAGTTGGCGTTAGAGTCCGGAAAATATTCCATCCTGATATAAAATAGAAATGAAGGTCATACGTGTTATTAAAAGCTTGTTATTAAAACATGCGTTGCTGTCCTATTTGTTGTTGTGATGGTGTGTATAACACCATGACAAGCCCAGTTGTGTCTGGATCAGATCTGTAAATACTGTGCATAATGTTGACTGATTACATGAAACACTAATTTGGTTAAATACGCTTTGGACCAGGTCACATAGAAAATTATAAAATAAAATTCGATAAAATAAAACCCGGGCTCTTACCATGTCTTTCAGTTTTACTGTGAAACATGTGCGTCTAAAACACCGAACAAAAGAAACTACTAGTGGGTATTTTAAAACAGATCTGTCGGTATTCTGGGTCTAACTTAACAAGACAACCCACATGTTTTTTTTGTGTGTGTTTTTTTTCATGCATTCTAACCTCGTGGTCATCATGACGCCAAGAGTGGGAATTTAAAGCAGCACTATGTTTTTTACTTTTTCTGTGTTCAAAATTTGCAAAATGTATATAATGAGCGAGTACATCATGAATTAATTCAATTCAGTCTTATTCCGAATCACTACGGTACACTTATAATAAGTACTTATATTTGGACTATTGTAGCCTGGTCGGGTCGTCACCGCTGCGGAGTAACACATACCTGCGTGAATCGCCATAGACATAAACTTAGAGAAGTAGCTCCGGTTGGAATGTTCTTCCGCGGGATGTGTGCAGTTCTGTTTATTAACCACTAGAGCACGTGCTGCTCAGAGGTGCTGCTTTAATGCTGTGATGTCAAAATAAACGTTTAATACAACGCAAGAGGTTGTTTGCTTGACATTGGGAAATTAACCGCACCGGCTAAATCTGGCATACACTAACGTTACATCGTTTATGTAATTACGAAAAAGTGGACACTTGTCATACGATTGTTGTTAATATGATCACGGTTACTTGCATTTTGCCCAGGTCAACGGATTCAAAGGTTGTTTTATTGCAGGTTGGCTTCCAATCAGAATCCATAGCACCGTTTTAATCAAACCTACATTATCATTGAGTTCCCTGATTATAAAGACTACTATCAGCCTTCTAAAGCTTCCTGAACACATCATTCTTTGCTGAATAATTCATCTGCACCATTCGCAGCTTGTAACTTTAATTTTCTGCCATTGTTATACTGGTGTTGCAACAATGATGGTCCTGTAAACTCGTGAAAACACAAGAAGCTTGGCAAAACGTTGATACAACGATCCAAAACTATTTTAAAACGGCAGGATGACACTAAAATAAAGTAAATGTTAAATTGAGTAAAATAAAACCAAAACAACCAAAGTAACTATGTTGTGGACTAACAAGCATATTACTCAGCACAGCGCCCGTCCATAAAAGTAAAATATGAGAAAAATGGTTAGGGCGAAGAATGAGAATTTCAGTACTTTACAAAAATTACCATAAATGTATGTTATGTCTTCTTTAAAGTGTCAGTAAATTCTATTGTAATTCATAGTTTGTTACAACACTTTTTTTTTACCACGTTACTGTATCTGATACATTTTTAATGTAGCATTTTCACATTCTTTTTACGTCCTACTTGGCTTTTAAAAAAAAGTTTCAATCCAAACCCTCGCGCCTTTGAAGCGTCTAAACTGCCGCAAATCATACAAGAAGAAGAAGAAGAACCCCTCGCGCCCTCTTCTGATCAGTTGGGCGTGGCGTTTGTGAGTGGGCGGAGTGATGGCGTACTTCCTTTGGCGCGCGCTGAGTAAAATTCAAAGCTGCGACTCAAACCGTTCAGTCAGTCCAGTCTGCTTCATGCGGATTAGTTCTTCTGGTTAGGATTTGTTGGGAAGAAATTTGTCTTTTTTTTGTACGGTGAGTATTTGAATGTGTTGTGGTATTTTTTTCAACCGTAGGAAGTGTGTAGCCTAGAAGAAATTTAGATTTGTCTGTTCGCTGTGGTTAGCGTAGCATGCTAGCTTGCCCTGTCCAACAAAACAAACGTGTTTTGCTTAAGTCTATGTAAGCGGAATTTTTTTTTTCTATGTTTTGTGTTTATATTAGCCAAGTTGATGCGTTTAAGTGTTAGACCGTACCTTTATAGGGCATACATTCTGGGCTTGATGTAACTTAGCCGTGTGTATTTTTCTGTTGCTACTCTGTGGTGGCTTATCTTACAGATCAGCATGTGTATATTCACTGATTGTCGTTTAGGCGTGCAGAGATGTCGTGGGATTTTATTGTACCGGTTTGTTTGGACGATCTCGTGAAGTCTGGTGCTGTTAACCAGTATGTGGTTCAGGATGTGCTGTCTGCTAAACAGCTTCCCTCTCACATCAACAGTAAGTGCTGAGCACTTTTTAACTGTATATATTTCAATACTCTTATCTGGACTGGTGTAACTACACTTTTTTTTTTTTTTTTTTTTTTAATTTTATTTATTTTTTTTTTATAAATCTGTCGTCTGCTATGAAGGTTTTAAAGCAGGACTGAGAAGTCAAGGGCCCCTGTGCATCCTGGAACATTTTGACACAGCATACAGTGTTTTGAAGTAAGTGTAGACAACCCAGAAACATTTATGCATATATACAAAACCTGAACCGTATACAATTTTCTAAGCCTTAGAATAAACTAAGCGTGTGAATCTAAAATATGCGTGTTAGAGAATGTACAAATGGTTAACATTGTGTCATATCAGTCAGAAAAGCAGTTCTGGGTTTTTTTTTTTTTTTTTTTTTTTTTTTTTTTAATTTTATTTATTTTTTTTTTATAAATCTGTCGTCTGCTATGAAGGTTTTAAAGCAGGACTGAGAAGTCAAGGGCCCCTGTGCATCCTGGAACATTTTGACACAGCATACAGTGTTTTGAAGTAAGTGTAGACAACCCAGAAACATTTATGCATATATACAAAACCTGAACCGTATACAATTTTCTAAGCCTTAGAATAAACTAAGCAAAAATAAATAATCATCAAATGAAAACAAATTGACCATAATAAGTTATTATAGCTTGTGATGTTTTATTTATCAAGAGTGTTTCAAAACCCAAGAACACTATACAATTCCTTACAAGAACCAATGTCAGAAGAACAATGCGGCTAAATGTACAACTGATGGGGGAAAACAACAAGAAATGGCAATGTTATAAATATATTTTTATGTGTTAAACATTAAAGGGATAGTTCACCCAAAAATGAAAATTCTGTCATCATTTACTCGCCCTCATGTTGTTCCAAACCTGTATGAGTTGCTTTCTTATGTTGAACACAAAAAAATATATTTTGAAGATTGCTGGTAATTAAACAGTTGGTGGTTACCATTGACGTCCATAGTATTTTTTTTCCTACTATGGAAGTCAATGGCAACCACAAACTGTTTGATTACCAGCAATCTTCAAAATATCTTTTGTTCAACATAAAGCAACTCATACAGGTTTGGAACGACATGAGGGCGAGTAAACAAGAAATGGCAATGTTATAAATATATTTTTATGTGTTAAACATTAAAGGGATAGTTCACCCAAAAATGAAAATTCTGTCATCATTTACTCGCCCTCATGTTGTTCCAAACCTGTATGAGTTGCTTTCTTATGTTGAACACAAAAAAATATATTTTGAAGATTGCTGGTAATTAAACAGTTGGTGGTTACCATTGACGTCCATAGTATTTTTTTTCCTACTATGGAAGTCAATGGCAACCACAAACTGTTTGATTACCAGCAATCTTCAAAATATCTTTTGTTCAACATAAAGCAACTCATACAGGTTTGGAACGACATGAGGGCGAGTAAATGATGACAGAATTTTCATTTTTGGGTGAACTATCCCTTTAACCCCATGTTACCATGACTTTGTCTAAGCATAATTTTCTGTATGCATTTAGACATTGTCGCACAGTGGATGTGGCAGTGAAAGAAGACGCACTGGAGTTGCTGATACAAGGTTGAAATTTCATAGTCAAACTTCCTTATCACCAAGTCATATTACTTGTAGTTATTTGGAATGAATCGAAACTATATTTTCCACAATGCTCTCTTTTCAGTGGTCAGAGGCCTGTCGGTTTCCCTGCCGACCCTTCTTTTGTCAGGCTCTTTATCAGCCATGGACCGCAAACAGCAGCTCAATACTGTGAAGATGAGCGTTTTTCTTCTTTGCAAACTCACAGAAACACTTGAGAGTGACTCATACAGGGAGACTATCGTCACGGCACCCAGCAAGGTACTGCTGAATGTTGAGTTTTTATTATTCATAAGTTGTATATACCAGTGGTTCTAAATTCCAGTCCTCACGACCCCCCCACTCTGGACATTTTGTATGTGTCTCCTATCACTTCAGACATTTGTTCTATTTGACTGTAAGTGCCCTGCAAAGTGGACTTCACAGGATATTCTGCCCTGATTCCAGTTTGAAGGGAGCCTATAGGTTCCATTCAGGTCGCCAGGACTGGAATTGAGAACCACTGGTTTATTCTATGCCCCGTGATGAGAACAAGGCAAATACGAGCTGATTGGCTGGGATCTTGTTCTCTTGCTCTCTGACTGGTAGGTAATCTTGGCAGAGCAGTGGAGATTGGCTGCGCTGCTGCAAGGGCCCACCCATATTGATGCTGGCTGTCAAGCATAATACAATTCTCCTTTAGAAATGGATATTTGTGGATGATTTGGCAGCTTACAGTGTGTGTGTGTGTGTGTGTGTTTGAGTATGTCCCGTGTGTAAATGTGTCAGTCAGCAAAGAGTCACATCTCCTAAAATGGGCCCACCAGCTGTGAATGTTTTCTTTGGTAATCTGAGGGCAACAACTATTGTTTCTAAGCTTGTTGATTTTGTGTATACCCCATATTAAATATCTCTTTGTCTTTCTCAGGGTCGCAAGAAGGATAAAGCTGCCGGAAAAGGTCTCCTGCAGTGGGACAGTGAGAGAGAGAAAGTTCTTCAGTGTTTCACTCAACTGCTGCAGCTGGACATTCGCACACTGTGGAGTCTGTCTCTAGTGGAGGAGGAGTTTGTCAGGTAAATTCTGGTAGATTTTCCTCTTAAAATATCACCTTTCTCCGTTTAACCTTTGTAGCGCTATATGTCTTAAAGGGTTAGTTCACCCAAAAATGAAAATTCTGTCATTAATTACTCGCCCTCATGTCGTTCCAAACCT